AAAAAGATCCCCATCCTTTCCCCGTACGTGCCTATAATCCCAGCACTCTGGGAGGCCGAGGGAGGAAGGCTGAGGGTTCTATCCCAGTCTCGGTGATTTAGCAAGACCCTGTCTGTCTCAAAATTTAAAAAGGGTTGGGATGTAACACAGTGCAAAAGATTTGGGTTCAATCCCCAGTACTGATGGGAGAGAGAGCGAGCGAGCAGGCAGACTCCTTATCTAAAGTGGTCAGTAAAACGAAAACACTTACCAATAAAAGTTATAGAAAGCTCATTACTGCAGATCTCATAGGTATTGGAAAGATAATAAGAGAATACTTTAAACAACCTATCCAAGCCTCTTAAAGTGTTGCTGGGAACAGGAAAATTCCTTGAAAATGCAGTTTATCAAAACAGAAGCAGAAAGGGAGAGGAGTTGAGAGTTCTATAATTTGCTGAGGAAACTGAATTATGATTGTAAAACCTCTCCATAAGGAAGTGCCAGGACGCACCAGCTTCCCTAGTGAGCCTTGTGATGGCGATAAAAGGGGATGCGTCTCACCTGCCAGCTCCGCTCGGTCCCCAGACCCGACCACTGTGGGGATCAAGGGGGTTGGACAGGACGGAGCCTCGATCAGGAGGTGCTGCAGGTGTGTGCTGTCCGGGTTTTCGTGATGGGATGTGGCACAGTCATGAGGCTTTATGTTCGGATTCGTTTCTGAGATGCACTGGGAGTCTGGTCTCCAGAAAATTGTGATTTGACAGAATTAAAACGGCTGCCTGGTGGAAGACTGGAGACACACCACTGGCCCTCTGAGGAGGGCTCTTTGCCCTTGGCAGCAAACCTTTCGGCCCTGGGTGGTTCACTGGCAGCTTCTCCCAGTCTCAACACTGTCATGAAAGAGGTATTTTGTTTGTTTGTTTGTTTTGCTGTATTGAGGACTGAACCCACGGATACGGATGCTCTACCACTGAGCTACATCTCTAGCCCTCTTTTTAATTTTATCTATTTATTTTCATTTTTTGAGACAGGGTCTTGCTATGCAGTCCAGGCTGGCCTTCAACTCACTATGTAGTTTAGGCTGACCTTGAACTCCTGGCAATCTTCCTGCCTCAGCCTCTCGAGTACTGGGATTATAGGCATGCACCTCCCCCCACACACCAGCTTTTTAATTTTATTTTGAGACAGCGTTTCCCTAAGTTGCCCAGGCTGGCCTCAAATTTGTGATCCTCCTGCCCCAGCCTCCTGAATAGCTGGGATTATAGGCATGGTGTCCCATGCCCTGTGAAGAGGTTCCTGGATGTTCACTTGTGCACAGTGAGGCCTGATGAACTTGGTACTGCAGTCCCAGTGTGGCTGGGAGGGGACAGAGGAAGAGCCATGGTTATAGCCTGGGCTGCTGCCCCAGGTCTGGGGTTGGGAGGAGGCCGGAGCCTTCTCAGGTTTGGGACTGGCCCCCGCCGGTGTGAATCACAGCAAATGTCACCTAGCTTCATGTTTTGGTTTACTGCGAGCCAGCTTCTGCAGGCCTGCTCCTCGATGGGTGATCCACTTGGGAGGCCTTGTTCATCCTGAGGACACTAGGTCCCCAGTGAACAGCTTCCAGGTGTGGGCCTTGGGGCGGGGCCAGCACTCAATTTAATGATCATCGATTGCACTCTCCCCAGGTTTATTTTCAAGGCTATTAGTGTTCCCGGGATGAAACTGTTCGTCTGTAACAGCATCACAGCATCACTGGTAATTTATCAAAAAAAAAAAAAAAAAGAAGAAGAGGGGCCGGGGATTTAGCTCAGTGGTTCTGGTGCCTGCCTCACAAGCACAAGAACCTGAGTTCAATCCCCGGTACCAAAAGAAAAAAAAGAAGAATTTCTTTCTTTGCACTGTGAGGGCCTCCCCCACTCCACCCTGTCTTGCTGTGTGGCTCAGGCTGGTCTTGAAGCCCCGGCCAGGGATCTTCCTGCGCGCCTGGCATGGCTCCCAGTCCCACCATGGAGGAGCAATGGCACGGCAGCCAGGGAGCTGGTGGGGCAGGAGCCGCATCTCTGCCCGGGCCCTGGGCCCCAGCAGTGGCACTCGCCCCACCCGAGGGTCCCGCTCCTGGACCTTGAACTTTGAGTTCATTGGTTTCCAGGTGCGTTGGTCAGACCCAGGGCCTCCTGCCTGGTCGTCAGGGGCTCTGGTTGGCCTGACACCCCTCCACTGTGTCACTGGGGCTGAGAACCAGGAAGCGACTGTGGGACACTCCGAACAAGGCACCAAAACACAGACTGGCACAGCTGAACTGTGGGGGCGTTAGTTGTTTCCGGTGAGAAACTGCTTCCATGCTAGCAGGCGGCCTGCGGTGCTGCCACACCCCTATCCCTTTTTACATTTTTTTTTTTTTGTACCAGGGATGGAACTCAGGAACTTGTGCTTGCAAGGCAGGCAGTAGAACCACTGAGCTAAATTCCCGCCCCTTCCCTTTTTAAATTTTAAGTCTGGGTCTCACTAACTTGCCCAGGTTGGCCTTGAACTTTCGATCCTCCTGCCTCAGCCTCCCAAGTAGCTGGGGTTACAGGCACCCACAACCACAGCTAGCTCCTGGGCCATCTCCAGCTGTGTCTCTACCTTGAGCAAGCCCTCCTTACACAGGTGGGCTACTACACATGTCTGTTCTAAATTATTTTTCTAGAACAAAATGTGTTTCTGGCAGATGCCACTGTGCCTCACTGCGGTCATTCCCTGCCAACCTCGGTCAGGCCCACCGTGTTCTTCCACCGTGCCCTTGGGCCACATCTCCTTCGAGCTGTTTTGAGACAAAGCTCCCAACGACAGCAGAAAACTTTTGTGCTCTGAGCACTGGAGAGAAAGGATTTGGTTATAAGGGTCCCGGCTTTCACAGAATTATTCCAGGATTTATGTGCCAGGGTGGTGACTTCACACGCCATGGCGATGAGAACTTCCTCCTGATGCATGCAGGTCCTGGTCTTCTGTCCATGGCAGATGCTGGACCAAACACAAACGGCTCCCAGTTTTTCATCTGCACAGCCAGACCGAGTGGTTGGATGGCAAGTATGCAGTCTTGGGGAAGGTGAAGAAGGGTGTGAACAATGTGCAGGCCATGGAGCGCTTCGGGTCCATGGCAAGACCAGAAAGGAGGTCACCATCATGACTGTGGGCAACCCTAATGTGCGTGGCTCATGTGTATCGAGATCGCCAGCCCATTCCTCTGCAGCTCAGGAAACCACCTCCGCCCCCTGAGAGAGGTGCTCTCCTGAGTTAAGTATTTATTTGACATGCAGGTCTGAATCATTAGAGGAGGCAAAAAATATGGTAATTCAAAATTTTAACTTTCATAGTTATAGAAGCAGTATATAAACCAAGGCTATATTCCCCAAAAGTTGTTTTTAAAAAATCATGTAGAAACCCATTCCCTTTGTAGAGCATGTGCCTTTGCCCGGGAGGGTGTGGCTGCAGGAGGAGTGGTCTGTGGCCTGGCTCCCTGGCAGTCAGCAAGGTCTCCCGGCTGGGAGCTCCCAGTGTGCTGCGGGTTGTGGCTGGATACCTGTGCCCTGCTGGTCAGGTGCATGTGCTGTGACCTGCCGGGCTGTTCCTTCTGAGTGTGCACCTGCACGCTTCCTCCCACCCTGAAGGCACATTCTCGGCGGCTGAACAGCATGAGGGGACCTGCAGAGCCCGTGCGCCAGGAGAGCCTCCCTGCACCAGGCCTGGAGAGGCCTGGCATAGCATGGGAACAGCGGTCTCGGGCAGGCAGCTGGTCTACGCTCAGGACCTGCTCAGGAAGTGGCCAAGTGTTACTCTCAAGGGGAGAAGTGGAAGGAGGTGTCCAACAGTAGGCTCTGTAATGAGTCTTTGAGACATTTAAATGACTGTTTGGTTAAAAACATGGGATTACAGCCAGGGCCACACCCGTAATCCCAGGACTCTGGGAAATTGAGCCAAGAGGATCCCAACTTTGAGCCCAGCCTGGGCAACTTAGTGACTTAACAAGAATCTGTCTCAAAAATTAAAAAATAAGAAAAGGACTGTGATGTAGTTCAGTGGGTAAGCTCTGGGTTCAATCCCGAGAGTCATATCACAAAAACAAACAGAAAGCAATGCAAACCAACCAACAAACAGAAAATGGTGTTACAAAGAGGCTGCACTGTGTTGGGTCTGATGTTCTACGCAGTGCACACATTTCATTCCAGTGCTGTAAGGACATAACGTGTGCGTTTGCACACACAATTTAAAGGAGACACGACTGTGAGTGATGGTTTCACCCTTCAGGCTGTGTGGAACACCCCTGCACACCTGCGGAGAGCCCCTAAGTGTGAGGAAGGGGTTCACATCTGACAAAAGGGCCTTGAGGACCAAGTTCTCAGCCCTGCGGAGGGAATGGGGCTCTGGCGAGGGCCCGGGCTGGGAGCTGTGGTGTCCGCATGCTTGGCATGGGGGAGCCTGGCGTCAGCTCAGAGCCCATCTAGAGCCTCTGGTCCTTCAGCCCAGAGTCCGTCCCTGTCTGGAGTCTCTGTCCGTGGAGTGCTGGCTCAGGAGTGTGAGTGGAGGCTCACGGCAGACCTTCCCGTGGTCTCCTGGTGCTGCCAGGACCTGCAGGAGTGCAGGCCCATCTCCAAGTCCCATGTTGGTGGGCACCTCAGGGTCCGCTGCGTTGCTGAGGCTGGGTGCAGGGCGCACTTACTGCTGGAGGTGGTGACGAGGGGCCCTGCTGCATTGCGTGTGGGGCAGGCAGGACAGCACCGGGTAACCTGTCAGGCAGCTGCCCTGGCAGACGGAGTCCGCTGCCCCCTCTGCAGCCTTCTGGTGTCGCTGCTGAGCACACATGGGGCCAGAGGGCCCAGGGAGGTCTGGGCAGGTCGCCAGCGCCAGGCTCTCCTCGGCTGGAATGTGGCCCCCACCCCGCGTAAGTGCCTCCCAGGGCTCGGGCTGCAGGCTCCCTGTGTCCGTGGGTGGACGGTTGTGTGGAAGCGGAGGTGGCCGAGCCCTGCCGTCACCCTGACACCCCAACCACTGTTTTTCAGTGAATGAATTCACGGTGATCAGGAAGAAGTTCAAGTGCCCCTACTGCAGCTTCTCAGCCATGCACCAGTGCATCCTCAAGCGGCATATGCGCTCGCACACGGGGGAGCGGCCCTACCCGTGCGAGATCTGCGGGAAGAAGTTCACGCGGCGCGAGCACATGAAGCGGCACACGCTGGTGAGTGTGGGCCGAGCAGTCCCTGGACTCCCCAGAAGCAAGGTCCGCTGTGTGTGCGGGGAGACGGAGCAGGCAGGAAGAGCTGCACCCTACTGGAATCCCTGTGATCAGGTTCCAGGCCCCCAGCCCCCTGCCCAGTGTGAGACGCAGGCCTGAGAAATAAATACACTGAGAGACAGAACCAGGAGAAAAAGCGGGGCCAGGACGACCAATGCCGCTGCAACCGACAAAGGCGAGGGACAGTCCCAGGCACTGAGTTTTAGTGGCAGTCAATTGGGGTAAAGGTGAGCTATGAGTGATTGCTATGGAAAGTAATGTAAACAAGGCTCACAAAGGACAAGACAAAGCATTCTCGAATTAGGAACAGAATAGATAAAATATATCATTGTAATTAGAACATCGTCCTTCTAGTCAGAAGGTTTTAGTTGTGGGAACGGAATTTGGGTGCGAGTTCCTCTGACCTCGGCTCGTAGGCTTCGGCCGGACTCACTTCTCAAAGCTGTGGGGTTAGCTCTTCACAGCCGGCTTTGGGCGTAATCAGCGTTATGGTCCCCTGCGTCTCCCCCTTCTCTGTTTGGAAATGGCAGCTGCATCAGTGTGGGCTGTGATTGTCCTTGGGGCTGTTTGCTCCTGGGTCTCATCGACAGGCGGTGCATCAGGTCTGGAGATCTTCCCAGGTCCAAGGGCTGCTGTAGATGAGAGGAGTCACTCAGATGTAGTATTTGCATGGCTCTCAGCAGGGTTGTCACATGGTGCTGCTTGCAGCGAATTCATCATCTTGGTCCATGGGGTGCATTCTGGGATGATGGCCACAGCATCTTTTTATTTTCTGTTGAAAGATAAGCATCCCCTGGCCCCTATGTTATTAAGTGTATTGAGCCATTTACCTTTTAGTTAGGACATCCTTGACAACACTAGTGTCTAGGACATGTCTGTAGATCTATCTTTGCACATATTTACTTTTCATAAGTGGATCTAAAAAATTTGAAAGATCTAATTGAACTTGTGGAGGTAGCTGTACCCTCTTCTTTTTGTTTATGTAATTGTGTTTGTTTTGTTTTTGTACTGGGGATGGAACTCAGGACTTTGTGCTTTCGAGGCAGGCTGCAGCACCACTGAGCTAAATCCCCAGCCTAATGTAATTGTGTTTTTAGGGAAAGGTGAGAACACCAACAATAGCTTGTCCCCATGAGTTATCCAATGGACCTGTGTCACAAGGACTTATAATATGTCTAACTGACTTAGCTGTCTATAATAAGTTCCTCTATAAAGAGCATCTCCAACTGCGGTTAGGGGAGAAAGGGCATAGTTTCAATCCAACTGATTTGAGCTGAGAAGGGTCGATGTAGGGAAGGCAGCAGTTAGGAGCTCTTTTCAGGGATATAATTTAATAGGCCTTAAATAAAAATCATGTGGTAATTTAGCAATTTATTTTTGGTACCAGAGATTGAACTCAGGACCTTGCCACTTTCGAGGCAGGTGGTACCACTGAGCTAAATCCCCAGCCCACACTGTAATTTAGCAATTATAAACTCTTTATAAAGTCAATCTGGTGGGTTTTGGTAAAAAATCTAGCACATTTTTTGTTGATTTTATCTATATGATCTCTTGGAGTTTGACAGCCTATAACAAAAGTAAACAAAATTTTTTAAAGACATTAGAGCATGTATAATCAAAGTATGAGTACTAAAATTAAAAAAAGCAGATTGGGGAAGAATCCATATTTAAAAACTGTTTCTAAAGTACTAAAATAGTGATTGTAATCTGCTGGCTCTTAGACCCTTTCACTAATGGAGGTTATCTATAAATCTGATATTTTGTCACAATTTTTCTTTCAATTTAAAAAGATTAAAATTTTAATAATTTTAACCCTGAATATATATTTGGTATTGGGGATCGAACTCAGGACCTTGCGCTTTCAAGGCAGGTGGCAGAATCCAGCTAAATCCCTGGCCCCTAAAATTTTAATAATTTTGAAAAACAATTTTAGCTAAAAAATTTAATAACTCTTGCTGAGGTCTATAAATTTTACCATAGTTCTTTCTTTTTTTTGGTACCAGGGATCGAACTCTGGACCTTGTGTTTGCGAGGTCACTAAGCTAAATCCCTGGCCCTTACCATAGTTTTTTCTAATGACCCATAACAGTGGTGAGCCATCAGTGTAGTTGGAAACTGCCACAAGGGGTCAGCAATTGAAGCCCCTTCTTATATCCAGCTTTATTACTATGGTCTTGACTTTATATATCTTTTGGTTATACTTTTCTACTGGGTGTTCAAGACCAAGTTAAGGTGTCGAGACCTCTTGCTAGCTATCAAGGCCAATTAAGTCTCCACAGGCATGACTTTGAACCATGTATAGAGCTGCTCAGCTCCTGTCAGTGTTAGCCATCAGCATGTGTCATGGCCTTGCTTGACCATGTTGCTTTCTGTGAAAGTGTCGGAGATTTTTCCCATCAAGTGACACTCCTTTCGTAAACTTTACATTTGTATATTCTTTTTTTTTGGTACTGGGGATCGAACTCAGGTCCTTGCGCTTGCGAGGCAGGCGGCAGAACCACTGAGCTAAATCCCCAGCCCTACATTTGTATATTCTTATCTTTTTTTGGTGTCCAACAGTCTCCCTGCTCAGGAGGTTGGGTGACTTACCAAAGTTGTAGGATCTTGTAGCAAAGGTTCTCTCATGTGCTGGGTAGTTTGTAGACCTTGAAGGGCCAGGGCCAAAATATTGGCTGTCTTAGCTCAGTTACCTTTGTAGTTCTGGTCCCTAAACTTTAGTTGTTGAACACCCAGAAGAGAAGATCAATAACATTAGCATTTCAATGGGAATAGTGAACTTAATTATTATAATTTTGCCTAGATATGAAGTACTTTGAAATATAAAATATAGTTAGAGGACTGTTATTATTATCAATCATGGTTGTTCTAATAGTTGAATTCCTGTAAAATGTTAACAGAATAAAAGCTTCAAATCAAGAGCCACACATATTTTAGCATGACAATCATGATGACATTATCTTTGTAACATACTTTCTTTCTTTCTTTCTTTTTTTTTTTTGGTACCGGGGATCAAACTCAGGACCTTGCACTTTCGAGGCAGGCAGCGGAACCACTGAGCTAAATCCCCAGCCCAAATTTCTTTCTTTCTTTCTTTCTTTCTTTCTTTCTTTCTTTCTTTCTTTCTTTCTTTCTTTCTTTCTTTCTTTTCTTTTCT